TGTGGAAAGCAGATGGAAGAGTAGGAAGGACTTTGTCTTGTGGCTTGAAGGCCAGCTTAGCTGTAGGAGCTTAGAGCACAAGGTAGACTTCTAAGGTTTTTGACTCCAGCCCTTGGCTCCCAGACAGCATCTCTGGACCCGCCCAGGGCCTGGGGGGACTCGCCACTCTGAAGGGAAGGACACAAGCCTGGCTGACTTTGCCACCTGCTGATTGTAGAGTCCTAGGGCCTTGAGCAAACATAGGCAGTAGCTAGGTAGTGGTTCCAGCAGGCCTTAGGTGAGACCAGGTGCTGTGCTGGCTTAAGTCTGACCCAGCACAGTCCCAGTGGTGGTGGTCACCAGGGGGCTTGTGTCACCCCATTCTCAGCTCCAGGCAGCTCAGCAAAGAGTGAGAGACTCTGGGAGAAAGTAAGGAAAAAGAACAAGAGTCTCTCCCTGGCAATCCAGAAAATTCTTTTGGATCTTATCTAAGACCACCAAGGTGATACCTCTACAAGTCTGCATGAACCACAGAATTATGGGCTTGGAGTGTTCCCTAATGAGGTACGGCTTAGATCACAACACTCAAGTCCCTTCATATACCTAAAAAGCCTTCACAAGGATGAGTACAAATAAATCCAGACTGCAAGGACTACAATAAATACGTAATTCTTAAATGCCCATACACCAATGAATATCCAGAAGCATCAAGACCATCCAGGAAAACATGACCTCACCAAACAAATGAAATAAGGCACCAGGGACTAATCCTGGAGAAACAAAGATATGTGACGTTTCAGACAGAGAATTCAAAATAGCCATTTTGAGGAAACTCAAAGAAAATCAAGATAACACAGAGAAAGAATTCAGAAATCTATCGGATAAATTTAACAGATTGAAATAATTAAAAAGAAACAGAAATTCCTGAGTTGAAAAATGCAATTGACATACTTAAGAAGGCATCAGAGTCTCAAGAGCAGAAGTGATCAAGCAGAAGAAAGAATTTGTGAGCTTGAAGATAGCCTATTTGAAAATACACAGGGAGGACAAAAGAAAAAATGATAAAAGAAATGGAAAGATATTCTATGTTCATGGATTGGAAGAATCAATATTGTTAAAATGTACATTACTACCCAAAGCAATCCACAGATTCAATGCACTCCTTATCAAAATACCAATGACATTCTCCACAGCAATAGAAAAACAATCCTAAAATTGATATGGAACCACAAGAGACCCAGAATAGCCAAAGCTATCCTGAGTAAAAATAAACTGGAAGAATCACATTACCTGATTTCAAATTATACTATAGAGCTACAGTAACCAAAACAGCATGGCACTGGAATAAAAACAGACACATAGACCAATGGAACAGAATAGAGAACCTGGAAGCAAATCAATAACTCTATAGTGAATTCACTTTTGACAAAGGTACCAAGAACAAACACTGGGGAAAGGATGGTCCTTTCAATGAATGGTGCTGGGAAAACTGGATATCCATATGCAGAAGAATGAAACTAGAGAGTTATCTCTCACCATTTACAAAAATTAAATCAAAATTGATTAAAGATTTAAATTTAAGACCTCAAACTATGAAACTACTAAAAGAAAACGCTGGGGAAACTCTTCAGGACATTGGACTAGGCGAAGATTTCTTGAGTAATACCCCACAAGCACAGGCAACCAAAGCAAAAATGAACAAATGGATCATATCAAGTTAAAAAGCTTCTGCACAGGCCAGGTGCAGTGGCTCACGCCTGTAATCCCAGCACTATGGGAGGCTGAGGTGGGTGGATCACTTGAGGCCAGGACTTCAAGGCCAGCCTGGCCAACATGGTGAAACTCCACCTCTACTAAAAATACAAAAATTAGCCGGGCATGGCAGCGCACTCCCGTAGTCCCAGATACTCGGGAGGCTGCGGCACGAGAATTGCTTGAACCCAGGAGGTGGAGGTTGCAGTCAGCTGAGATTGTGCCACTACACTCCAGCTTGGGCGACAGAGCAAGACTGTCAAAAAAAGAAAGAAAAAGCTTCTGCATAGCAAACAAGACAATCAACAAAGTGAAAAGACAACCCACAGAACTGGAGAAAATAATTGCAAACTACCTATATGACAAGGGTTTAATAAACAGAATATATAAGGAGCTCAAACAAGTCTATAGGAAAAAATCTAATAATGTGAAAAATGGGCCAAAAGGACCGAGTGTAATCACTCACACCTATAATCCCAGCACTTTGGGAGGCCTAGGCTAGAGGATGGATTGCTTGAGCTCAGGAGTTCAAGGCTAGCCTGGGCAACATAGTGAGACCTCGTCTCTCTCTCTCTATATATATATATGTATTTTAAAAGGGCCAAAGATCTGAATAGACATTTCTCAAAAGAAGACATACAAACATCAAACAGACACATAAAAAAGGTGCTCAACATCACTAATCATCAGAGAAATGCAAATAAAAACTATGAGACATCATCTCACCCCGGTTAAAATGGTGTATATCTAAAAGACAATAACAAATGCTGGGAAGGATGTAGAGAAAAAGGAATCCTTGTACGGTGTGGGTTGGTGGAAACGTAAATTAGCACAACCACTCTGGAGAACAGTTTGGAGGATCTTCAAAAAACTAAAAATAGAGCTACCATATGATCCAGCAATTCCACTGCCAGGTGTATGCCCAAAAGAAAGGAAATTAGATGTTGAAGAGATGTCTGCACTCCTATGTTTATTGCAGCACTGTTCACAATAGCCAAGGTTTAGAAGCAATGTAAGTGTCTACCGACAGATGAATGGATAAAGAAAAGGTGGGGCCGGGTGCGGTGGCTCACGCCTGTAACCCCAGCACTTTGGGAGGCCAAGGCGGGTGGATCACTTGGGGTCAGAAGTTTGAGACCAGCCTGACCAACATGGAGAAACCCCGTCTCTGCTAAAATACAAAAATTAGCCAGGCGTAGTGGCGGGTGCCTGTAATCCCAGCTACTCAGGAGGCTGAGACAGGAGAATTGCTTGAACCTGGGAGGCAGAGGTTGCAGTGAGCCGAGATCGTGGGCAACAGAACAAGGCTCCCTCTCAAAAAGGAATAAATAAATAAATAAATAAATAACTTAAAAAGGTGGGACATATAAACTATGGCATACAATTCAGCCCAGAACGAGACTGTGTCATTTGCAATATAGATGGAACTGAGGTCATTACGTTAAGTGAAATAAGCCAGGCACGGAAAGACAAACTTCACGTGTTCTTCTTTGTGATCGCTAAAAATTAAAACAATTGAACTCATGGAGATCGAGAGTGGAAGGGTGGTTACCAAAGGCTGGGAAGGTAGTGGGGGATGGGGAGGACGTGGAGATGATTAATGTGTACAAAAAAGTAGAAACAATGAATAAGACCCAGTATTTGGTAGCAAAACAGGGTGACCATAGTCAATACTTTAATTGTAAATTTAAAACAACCAAACGAGTATAATTAGATCATTTGTAACACAAAGGATAAAGGCTGACAGTGATGGATACCCCATTTCCCCTGATGTGACTCCGACCCGTCGCACACCTGCATCAAAGTACGTCGTGCACTCCATAAGTGTATACACCTACTATGTACCCACAAAAATTAGAAATTAAAAAAGTTTAAAATACAAAAAAAATTTTTAAGTCTATAAATCAGTTTTTTAGCAGTCTATTAAAGGAATAACAGGCTGGGCACGGTGGCTTACGCCTGTAATCCCAGCACTTTGGGACGCCAAGGCAAGCGGATTAGCTGAAGTCAGGAGTTCGAGACCAGCCTGGCCAACATGGAGAAAACCCTGTCTCCACTAAAAAATTACAAAATTACCCGGCATGGTGGCGCATGCCTGTAATCCCAGCTACTCAGGAGGCTGAGGCAGGAGAATCACTTGAACTCAGGAGGCAGAGGTTGCACCGAGCCGAGATTGTACCACTGCACTCCAGCCTGGGCGACAAGAGCAAAACTCCGTCTCAAGAAAAAAAAAGGAACAACACACGATGGTCGGGTAAGATTTATCCCAAGAATTTGAAGATGACCCAACATCAGCAAATCTAGTAATGTATTTCACTTTATTAACATATTAAAGAAGAGAAAACAATATCATCTCAATTAATGAAAAAAAATCCATCTCAAAATCAAGTACTCATTTTGTTGAGAAAAACAAACTTTTAACAAGAACAAAAAGATACTTCCTGAAGTTGATAAAGCTTGTCTACCAGAAACCTACAGAGTAAACCTCACACTTGATAATTTAAAGAAAAACTCATTTGTGCCCGTTACAATTTATTGCCTGTCAGCTCCAAATTCACCTTTCTTGGTGAAGGTGGATGCTTGCTAGGAACGTTTTTCTTGCCAGCTGACAAAATGCTAAGCTGCGTCAGTAGAGGGCGCTGGAGGCGCGACAGGAGGGCGCCGCCCCGTTTCCTGTCGCCAGCGGCATGTGTGGGGACACCCGGTGGCACTTGTCCACCCACACGTTGTACAGAGACCACGCAGGAGGATTCCTGCTGGCCAAACGCGTTGTGACCTAGTGGGGTTTATCCCAGGAATTTAAGGATGACTCAAATCAGTAACTCTCTCAATGTATTTCTACTCTATTAACATATTAAAGGAGAAAAAATATCTCGATGGACAAAAAAAGTTTTGTTCTTTTTTTTTCCCCCCGAATTGAGACACATCCAGATTAGGAAACAACAAACAAACAAACAGTTAGCAAGGTCCACAGTTTCCTGCTTGCCAGCCTTATCCTGCCAGCTAGCTGTGAGCCAGCTCTGGCCCAAGGCAACCCAGCAAACACCGCTGCCATCCAGTGGGCCACGGCCATACCCTCTCCAATGAGGCCTGAATCTCACCCTTGGGAAGGATCCCTCCCCCTCCCGCCCCCACCTTTCCAGTTTCTTTCTTTTTTGGATATTGTCCTGGGCCAGCCTCCCTCCCTCCCTCCCTCCCTCCCCCCCCCCCCCCCCTCTCCCCCTCTTCCTCTTCTTTCTTCTTTTTTTTTTTTTGTAGAGATGAGGTCTCACTATATTTCCCAGATTGGTCTCCAACTCCTGGGTTCAAGCAGTCCTCCCACCTTGGCCTCCCACAGTGCTGGGATTACAGGCGTGAGCCACCACGCCCGGCCTTAGGGTGTTCTTTAGAGTTCTCTTTTATCCCTTCTGAATAGCCAATCCCTTATGAATAGCTCGTGATTCTTTTTGTTGGATTTTATCTGTTAAATTATTGGTATGATTTCTGTCTCCTAAATGGATTACTAATGGTAAAGAATTGGTATCAGAAATGGAGTTAAGTGCTCACCTTCTAGTTCACATATTTCTTACTAAGGTATCTAAAGTCCTTGCTAGTTCCTCTTCATCAGATACAATCAGCATAACATCATTAATGCAGTGAGCGACTCTGGCGTTTTGTGAAAAGTCCAGGGGGCGCCATCTCTGCAGACCAGATCATGGGAGAGAACAGTGCTGACAGCCCTGATGTGAGACTACGAAGGGGTACTGTTGGCCCTGCCAGGTAAAAGCAGACTGCTTCTGGCGGTCTTTCAAATGGGTTTGAAGACAGAGCTTTGGTCAGGTTAACGGCTGTATACCAAGAACCAGGGGCCATCGAAGACTTGCTCCAAGGAAGATACCACATTTAAAATAGTAGCTGCAACTGGAGTCACTATTTACAATAGTCCATAATAACTCTCCAAGATCCACGCCTCTTCTGCACAGGCCAGACGACTGAGTTAAATAGGGACGTGGAATCACCACTGCTGCTTCCTTCAGGTCTTCGATGGTGGCGCTAATCTCTGTAGTTCCACCAGGAGTGCAGCACTGCTTCTGGTTTTCTATTTCAGTGGGGAGGGGAAGTTCAAGAAGCTCGTCTTGGTCCTTACTATCATAATGTCCCCAAGTATATCTAGTCCAATAACAGCTTCAGTAACGGAGGAAACAAAGACAGAGAGGGTCCACGGAACAGGTGGACTCACAGTCAGGCTAGCTCAGGCTCCATCTGTCACCTAGCCACCATAACCGCCCATTTTGACTAGTGGCCGCAGTGTCACTTTGGGTCCCTGTGGATGAACATCAGTTCGGAGCCAAAGCTTCAGTCATCCCAGTGCACAGTCACTCTGTGAATTACACAGGTCTTCTGAGTAGGAGCTACAAAGAGACTTAGAGTAGGTACTTGCAGCAGGGCTGCAGAGTTCATCCTCGGGGGGACATGCCCCCACACCTACAGCCCAGTTCATAAAGGGGCCCTGGGGCTGTGAATTGACTCAGTCCTAGGAGCTAGGGGAGCAGCCGTAACTCTCTACTGTGGTGATTCAAATCAGGGTTCTGGCTACCAGACCCGGACTCTTTTTCTGTTATACTTCAGTAGGCAGCCCATCAATTTTGTTCCTAGAGATACGATGATCGATTAGCCATTGCCAAGAATCCCGATGGCCAAAGGCATTCTGATTACCGTTAGGTCTCTGCCACCCTTTGTGGTAAATGTTCCCACCTTATCTTTGACAATTAAGTGCTCCCAGTTATCCTAAGGCACTTCGGGACCCCATCACCCCACTGATACCAGGAAGCTCATCTCAGTGACAACATCCTTAGGGTCACACCTGCCTACACAGGAAAGCAAGCACAGAGCTTTTAGGGATGCAGATGCTCCCCTCACTATTCTGTTTCTCAATGTCTTAGTAAAGAAGTGTCTTCGGGCCTTCTCATGGTTATGGATGGGCGTTTGGTGGTAGATGTGCAAGTCACACATGATAAATCCACTGTGACATTCCTGTCTCCTTACGTCTCTGGATTGTCTCCCCCAAATCATAGCAGGGAAGCTCTGGCACCTCCACCTCATCAAATGTAGGTAACTGTTGAATCACCTCTAGCTGCACAAGCTAACCCATGACATCTAGACTCTCAGGTAAGTGCGTCTGTATCAATGAATTAACCAAATGGAATGTTCTAGCCTACCCTGTTGGATCGAACACTCTTAGAATCAATTCGACATGTTTCCCAGGTTTCTTCCAATATTTATCAGCAAAATCTTACCATTCTTTTGGTGTGTAAGTGATTTCCTTCGGAGTTAGTTATCTGAGTTATATGTCCCCCTGTAACATGCTAAGATTTGACCCTCGTTACGGATCCAGTGACAACAGGGGTGACTGTGCCGGGTCTGAGGAAAGCGCATCCCTTTCCAAGGCGTCCTCCCAGATGAAGTTATCACAGGACTTTCAGGCAAAGGAAGTGTCCTGAGACCCAGGAGGGCAGATACTTCCACTGCCAAGGGAGCTTTGAAGTGATCTGTCGGTTTCATCCGAATCCGAGCAGGTGTTCCCATTCCAAGTTTCAGGGTCCGGTTCTTTCCCTGTGAATGCTCTAACTTGCATATCAGAAACTTGACTGTGACAAACTCACGTGTAATCCTGACTGAAACACCAGAACAATGGTGTTGTTAACAACTGACAATAGAGAAAGGGTGCCCCATTACCACTGCTACAGTTAACAAGTACACTGGCTTTCCAGCTATACAATAAGCCATGAAATGAAAATAGACATACAAATAATAAAAAGGAAAATACAGAATTGTTATTGTTTGCATGCAATAAGATTTTCCACCTAGGAAATCCAAATGAATCAACTGAAAAGCCACTAGAGGGTCTAAGGAATCCACAGCAATACACAAAATAAATAGCCTTTCCAAATACCATCCACTTAGAGACAGAACCAAGAAGGTTTCGTAATGTTGTCACAGCAAAACCTGAAACAACCTAAATGTACTGACAGAATGGTTCACTAAATTTCAGTATATTCTGACTATGAGATATTATCTATCAGTTGTATTGCTACAGAAAACATTAAAAACAAAGTAAATGTAAAAAGGGAAAAACAGGCTCCGGAACACTATATATAGTATGATCCAATTTACGTAAAAAACAAACACTAGGCTGGGCGCGGTGGCTCACGCCTGTAATCCCAGCACTTTGGGAGGCCAAGGCGGGTGGATCCCCTGAAGTCAGGAGTTCGAGACCAGCCTGGCCAACATGGTGAAACCAAAAATACAAAAATTAGCTGGGCGAGGTGGCTGGTGCCTATAATCCCAGCTACTCTGGAGGCTGAGGCAGGAGAATCACTTGAACCTGGGAGACGGAGGTTGCAGTGAGCCGAGATCGCGCCACTGCACTCCAGCCTGGGCGACAGAGCGAGACTCCTCTCAAAAAACAAAACAAAACAGAAAACCACTGAAAAGATGTATGTTTTGAGGTATAAGTGTATGAAGAGAAACACATGTGGAAGAAATTCCCTTCAGAAAGGGGAGTAATTTAAGAGGGCTTTCACTTTCTTTAATTTATGTATTTCTGTCTTACATTGTAGCTGGACGTGGTGGTGCACAGCTGTAGTCCCAGCTACTCAGAAGACTGAGGTGGGAGGATCACTTGGGCCCAGGAGTTTGAGGCTGCAGTGAGCTATGATGGCACCACTGCACTGAAGCCTGGGAAACAGAGAGAGACCCTGCCCCTAAAAAATAAAAAATTACATACTTATATATTGCTTGTGTTATTGGGCTGAAGATCTGAGAAACTCTGGCATCATCCCTTCGTGATCCATTTATCCACCAACTCACTGATAAATATCCAACACCTGCCAGGTATCTCACGCTTGAAACAGGTAACATGATACATAATTCTGAAAGTGCAGGGCTACAGAACCCTAATTCTAATAGCCTACCAGATATTTTTTTCAGTAAAGACCTATGAGATAGCATCCACAAATTCTCCTTAACCACATATTTGGAATCGTTGACTGAAAACTCATTAGCTTTTCCCAAAAGCAAGCTGTATTATAACTAAGCTGGAAAATTTTCTCTTTGTTCATCCAACAGGGATATTTTGAAAGACTCCAGCTGGGGCTGGGTGCGGTGGCTGGCGCGGTGGCTCACGCCTGTAATCCCAGCACTTTGGGAGGCCGAGGCAGGTGGTTTACCTGAGGTCGGGAGTTCTAGACCAGCCTGGCCAACATGGTGAAACCCTGTCTCTACTAAAAATACAAAAATTAGCCAGGTGTGGTGGCGGCACCTGAAGTCCCAGCTACTCGGGAGGCTGAGGCAGGAGAATGGCTTGAACCCAGGAGGCGGAGGTTGCAGTGAGCCGAGATCGCGCCACTGCACTCCAGCCTGGGTGGTAAAGCAAGACTGCGTCTCAAAAAAAAACCCAAAAAACAAAGTAAAGAAAGACTCCAGCTACACTTAGACATACTTCTAACCTTAGATATATTATAGACCCAGCTTGGTTATTAGTATTGAAAATGCTCTTAAAACCACTTCTGTCATATATATTTCACACAAGAATAAATAAATTGAGTAAACGTGGAAAAATGTTATGTTCACTTCTATTAATAAGCAAAAAAAATAAAATAAAATAAAAAATAAAACAACTCATTAAATTAGCAGACTTTGAAAAATATTTAAAATGGCTACTAATGTTGAAGAGACCTTGAAATGACTGCCTGCAACACTGCTAGCGGCAGCACAGATTAGAGTCGGCAATGTTTATCAAAAGTCACAAAATACCAGTCTCTGAAATAATCATCTTATGATTGAGACTTAGTAAATAGTTGCCATGAAGAAAAATAGTTCTGCCGGGCGTGGTGGCTCACGCCTGTAATCCCAGCACTTTGGGAGGCCGAGGCGGGTGGATCACAAGGTCAGGAGATCGAGACCACGGTGAAACCCCGTCTCTACTAAAAATAGAAAAAATTAGCCGGGCGCAGTGGCGGGCGCCTGTAGTCCCAGCTACTCGGGAGGCTGAGGCAGGAGAATGGCGTGAACCGAACCCGGGAAGCGGGCAGTGCAGTGAGATGACACCACTCCACTCCACCCTGGGCGACAGAAAAAAACCCCACAAAAAAAAAAAAAAAAAAAAAAAAAAAAAAAAGAAAAATAGTTCTTTGGGCAAAGCTTTAATAAGTCCATCATTTATAATAATAAAACTTTGGAAACAACCTAAATATTAAAAAAAAAATTTGTAACAAACTATGGCACAACCATTCAATGGAACATTAAACAACGATTTTCAATTATTTTATAAAGAAATTGTAATAACATAAAAAAATGAAAAGCAATGAGTCATTTTAAAAATCCTCACTCAACTGGGAATGTTATCTTTATAACGTTAAAAATTAGTAAATCTTTTTTTTTTTTTTTTTAGAGACAGAGTCTCGCTCCGTCGCCCAGGCGGGAGTGAGTGGTGTGATCTCGGCTTACTGCAAGCTCTGCCTCCCGGGTTCAGACGATTCTTCAGCCTCAGCCTCCCGAATAGCTGGGATTACAGGGGTGCACCACCACGCCCGGCTAATTTTTGTATTTTTAGTAGAGATGGGGTTTCACCATGTTGACCTGGCTGGTCTAGAACTCCTGACCTCAGGTGATCCACTGGCCTTGGCCTCTCAAAGTGCTGAGATTACAGGTGTGAGCCACTGCACCTGGCCTTTATTTATTTATTTATTTATTTTTATTGGCCACTATACTAATAGGAAAACATTTTAATATAGTCATAATTTAAAAATTATGTCTTTTTTTTTGAGGCGGGGTCTTGCTCTGTTGCCCAGCTGGAGTACAGTGGCATGATCTCAGCTCACTGCAGCCTCTGCCTCCCAGGTTCAAGCAATTCTCCCACCTCAGCCTCCTGGGTAGCTGGGATTACAGCTGCACCACCACGCCTGGCTAATTGTTATATTTTTAATAGAGAGGGGGTTTCACCATGTTGGCCAGGCTGGTCCCGAACTCCTGACCTCAGGTGATCCACCCACTTCAGACTCCCAAAGTGCTGGGATTACAGGCGTGAGCCACTGTGCCCAGCCCATAAATTTTTAAGTCATAATTTGACTTAATAAATTTTGTCATAAATTAAGTCATAATTTAAAAATTATGAGTATACAGCAATATAGGAATCAAGAAATTTCTTATCTAAGCTCAATGATAAAAGCAGAAAACAAAATTTTACTTGTACTCTCTCAAATTGTAACTATATAAGATATCTATTCAGATGCATAACCCTGAAGTAACGTGAGCTCAAGCTCATTAGGCTGAAAGAATGATGGCTGGTTTTTCTTCAAAATATTTTTTTTTGTTTCCTCAGTACGAGCAGAGTACAAAAAAACTCAAAGCACAGAAAAGTTTTGGTGACCCACCTGCTGCTGCTTTCTAAGGAACATTTCAATGTCCATATGAATCCGGGCCTCTTCTTCGGTTTTCATCCTGAGTTTCTGTAAGAACAATAATCAGACACCAGCACGTCTTCCCTGCAGGGCTGTGAATCAGAAGTTCTCAAGATTAGAGGAGCAGCTTGGTCGGTAGCTCAGGTTTCCTTTACCAGCTGGGATGCCGGGAATTCAGTTTCGTGCAATTCCTGTTCACAAACACCGCGAGACACATGACATGGCACTGTCTAGACTGTGTTAGTGTCCCTAACAAAAGGAGCGCAATCCCGTGAATTGAAAAGAGGTGCCCATTGAAGGAGAGAAACGGTGCTCCAAGGGCACAAGGCTGTGGGTCCTAAAAAAGGGAAATTCCAGAGTGCCAGGAAGACTGTTGTCGTGGCCTTAAGCCACGTTAGTCTCAGAGCAAGGAGTCCTCCCACGCACAAATTCCATGGTCTAAGGACATTTGTTCCTTCTTCCCTCTTCCCATCTGCCTGCTGCTGTGTGTGTGTGTGTGTGTGTGTGTGTGTGTGTGAGAGAGAGAGAGAGAGAGAGAGAGAGAGAGAGAATGAGAGGAGTCTTCCCTATGTTGCCCAGGCTGGCTTCAAACTTAAGGATCCTCCTGCCTCCCCTCTGATTAGCTGGGACTAGTGCCTGGCTTTGCGTGTGTGTGTGTGTGTGTGTGTGTGTGTGTGTGTGTGCGCCATTTTGCATTCCCCTCAAAGAAGATCTACCACTTTCTTCCTCCTGATATTTTTCACTGTGACTTCTCATCTCCATAAATTCAGGTTTGAATGAAGTTCACCTCTCAAGATGCTGTATTTCTTACTGGAGGAGTGAAAGGTACTGGTTAGATAAAACAAACAGCAGCAAAATCCTGCCATAACTAAGGATCTTGTTTTGCCCTCTCCCTATAATTAGAGAAATGGCGATTGGTTTGATAAAATAAGAAGAAATGACCGAAGAGAGAAAGTACAGCCAATTTTCAAAGTCATTATGAGGCAGGAGAAGGAGGCTACAGCCCGCTGGAATCTCCACTTGCGAACATGTGTATCCTCATTTAGGCTTTCATTTTCAACCTCAAGTGGAGGGGCTGTTGCCGAGAGAGATGGAGGGAAATCTTCATCTCCCTCCTTTGTTAGCTGAGACAGGATCAGGAGTGACAGCTCAAATGCCATCTCCTGGGTTCTTCACTAATGTCCCAGGGATTACCTCAATCTCTTCCAGCAAGAGTTCCTCTGTTCTGTTACACTTTCTCTGGGTCTGGGCAATCTGCAGCTCAGTATTGGTTTTCATGTAGCGATTCTCCAAGTTGGATTTTGCTTTCATCTCTTGCAGTTGGTCCTTGAGGTTAGCAATATACTCATTCTGACTCTGTAGTGGAAAGACCAGGTTTCTAAATTGAAAATACATTCTACCGCCATTCAGTTCAGCCAGTGGCTTAAGGTTCCCTTTTATAAGTGTAAATCAATAAGGAACGGGAACTAGTTTTCCGCTATCACACTACGGGAAATTTAGCCAACAATCATGAAGAGATGAAAGTGAGTAATACAGCAGTTCGAAGAATCAGGGCGAATCAGGGCGGAGATTAGTTCCCAGGCACATTACTGGTGTGTCCATATTTCCCACACAGATTTCTCATTTTGGTAGGAAGAACACTGGTCAAAATGATGAAAAGAACTGACTTCCCACCCAGGCCTCCAGCTGTGTGAATTTGGCCAAGTCAAATCTCCAACTTTTTTACTTTCTATAAAACACACACACACACACACACACACACACACACACAGCACCCACCCTGACTGAAGTATCTCAGAGATTATTAGGTTTCATTGAGAACACGTGTGAAAATGCTTTCTTTTTGCAGGTCACCAAGTGCTTGGCAATTGCTAGGACTCAATAGTCATTAAGAAAAATATTTATTCAGCACCAGGCACTGAGCTAGGCTCTAGGAAAATCATGGAGCTCTAAACAGACATATTCCCTGCCCTCATAGAGCTTACAGTCTAATAGAAGAGAGGTGGTTAAAAAGAGACAAACACATGTGTAAACTTTCAAAAATTGTGCAAAATGATAGAAAAGGAAAGCTTGACAGGCTGTGGGAGGAAATAACAAGGGAGGAGTCCATTCGACTCTGGAAGGCCTGAGAGGGACTCTCTCGGGAAAGTGATGGTTCACTCGATGTACATTAGAGTCTGGAAGGTCTGAGAGGGACTCTCGGGAAAACCATGGTTCATTCGATGTACATTAGACTCTGGAAGGTCTGAGAGGACTCGGGAAAAACCATAGTTCATTGATGTACATTAGACTCTGGAAGGTCTGAGAAGGACTCTCGATGGTTCATTCGATGTACATTAGACTCTGGAAGGCCTGAGAGGACTCTCCAGAAAGTGATGGTTCATTGATGTACATTTAGAGTCTGGAAGGTCTGAGAGGACTCGGAAAACCATGGTTCATTCGATGTACATTAGAGTCTGGAAAGGTCTGAGAGGACTCTCGGGAAAACCATGGTTCATTCGATGTACATTAGAGTCTGGAAGGTCTGAGAGGACTCTCGGAAAACCATGGTTCATTCGATATACATTAGACTCTGGAAGGTCTGAGAAGGACTCTCGATGGTTCATTCGATGTACATTAGACTCTGGAAGGCCTGAGAGGGACTCTCTCCAGAAAGTGATGGTTCATTCGATGTACATTAGAGTCTGGAAGGTCCTAGGAAAGTGATGGTTCATTCGATGTACATTAGAGTCTGGAAGGTCTGAGACGGACTCTTGGGAAAACCATGGTTCATTCGATGTACATTAGACTCTGGAAGGTCTGAGAGGGACTCTCTCAAGGAAGTGATGGTTCATTCAATACCTGAAGGATACGTAAGCCCACCACATGAAAAATAAGCTTGGCCAGGCACCGGGACTCACACCTGTAATCCCAGCACTTTGAGAGGCTGAGGCAGGGCCATCACCTTAGGTCAGTAGTTTGAGACCAGCTTGGCCAACATGGTGAAACCCCATCTCTATTAAAAATACGAAAAATAGCTGGGCATGCTGGTGTGTGCCTGTAATCCCAGCTACTCGGGAGGCTGAGGCAGAAGAATCGCTTGAACCTGGGAGGTGGGGGTTGAAGTGAGCTGAGATCGCGCCACTGCACTCCAGCCTGGGTGACAGAATGAGACTCTATCTCAAAAAAAAAGAAAAGAAAAAGAAAAAAGGAAAAAAGAATCGAAAAATAGGGTTAAGGGAACTCTAAAAAAAAAAAAATAAGAAAAAGTATATGCCCAAATCCTGAAGCCATCAAGACCTGGACACATTCCAGGAACGGAAAGAAAACTCCGGAGGCTCTAGCCTAGTGAGGGTTGAGGGGACGACAGGATGAGGCTGGAGGTAGGTAAGGGCACCACACAGGACCTCGGAGGCCTGACTGAGAAATTCAGATTTTATTCCAACTGTGGTGGGAATCCTTGGAAAGCTTTTAGTCAGGGAGGTAACATTTGTTTGAAAAGAACTGTTTGGAAGAATCATTGTGTGAGTGAGTCCACAGGGAGGCGCCCTGACAGCACAGCAAACAAGCACACAACCAGCAGCAAAGTGCTTCCACCGAGATCCGCCCTCCCCTAGACATCAGCCGCCTTTCTTCTCTTTTTTTACTTTTTTTGAGACAGAGTCTTGCTCTGTTGCCCAGGCTGGAGTGCAGTGGCGTGGTCTCGGCTCACTGCAACCTCCACCTCCCGGGTACAAGCCATTCTCTGCCTCAACCTTCTAAGTAGCTGGGATTACAGGCATGCGCCACCTCGCCCGGCTAATTTTGTATTTTTAGTAGAGACAGGGTTTCTCTACGTTGGTCAGGATGGTCTTGATCTCCTGACTTCAGGTGATCCACCTGCCTCGGCCTCCCAAAGTGCTTGGATTACAAACGTGAGCCACCATGCCCGGCCTCCAACTGCCTTTCATCTTGACCATTAAGTAGGGTAGAATTAGTTCTTTTTTATTAACAGTTTTTTTTTTTTTTTTCCAGAGACAGGATCTCCCTCTGTCACTCAGGCTGGAGTGTAGTGGCTTGATCACAACTCACTATAACCTCCAATTCCTGGGCTCGAGCGATCTTCCCGAGTAGCTAGTACTGCAGGTACATGTCCCTACGCCTGGCTAACTTTTTACTATTTTTAGAGATGAGGGTCTCACTCTGTTGCGCAGGTTGGTCTCAAACTCTTGGCTTCAAGGGATCCTCCTGCCTTGGCTTCCTAAAGTGCTGGGATCACAGACATGAGCCACTGTGCCCGGCTTTTTGTTGTTGTTGTTGTTGTTTCTGAGACAGTCTTGTTCTGTCACTCAGGCTGAAGTGCACTGGCATGATCATGGCTCACTGTAACTTTGACCTCCCAGGCTCAAGAAATCCTCCTGCCTCAGCCTACAGAGTAGTTGGGACTACAAGTGCATGACATCACGCTCAGCTTATTATTATTATTACTGTAGAAACAGAGTCTCACTATGTTGCCCAGGCTGGCCTTGAAACCCTGGGCTCAAAGGATCCTCCCACCTCAGCCTCCCAAAGTGCGAGGATTACAGGCAGGAGCCACTGCTGCACCCAGCCTCCTTTTGTTTTCTTGAGGTAGGGTCTACTGTGTCCCCCAGGCTGTAATGCAGTGTCACCATCACAGCCTACTATAGTCTTGAACTCCCAGACTCAAGCAATCCCCTCTCTTCAGCCTCCCAAGTACCTAGGGAATTAATTCTAAGCAACTATTCAAAGAAAACAAAGTGGTAATTGGACAAATCCTCTGTTAAGGAAAGCAAGCATGGGCAGGGGTGTCCAATCTTCTGACTTCCCTGAGCCGCGCTGGAAGAAGAATTGTGTTGGGCCACACACAAAACACACCAAAAATAGCTGATGAGCTGAAACAAAAAACAAACCACACACACACACACACACACACACACAAATCTCTCATAATGTCTTAAGAAAGTTTACGAATTTGTGTTGGGCCCAGTCAAAGCCATCCTGGGCCGCATGTGGCCTGCGGGCTGCAGGTTGGACAAGCTTGACTTAAAGTATCATTAGGCCCCAGCCCGGTGGGGTGGCTCACGCCTATAATTACAGTGCTTTGGGAAACCAAGGCCAGAGGATCACTTGAACCGAGGAGTTCAAGACCAGCCTAGGTAACAGAGCAAAAACTATCTCTACAAAAAGATGAAAAAATGAGCTGGGCCCGGTGGCGCAGGCTGTGGTCCCAGCTACTAGGGAGGCTGCCGTGGTAGAATCCCTTGAGCCCGAGGCCGAGGCTGTAGTGAGCCACACTCATGCACTTTAGCCTGGGCAACAGAGCGAGGCCCGAGGCCGAGGCTGTAGGCCGATGTGGCTCATGCGGGCTGCAGGTTGGACAAATGACTTAAAGTATCATTAGGCCCCAGCCCGGTGGGGTGGCTCACGCCTATAATTACAGTGCTTTGGGAAACCAAGGCCAGAGGATCACTTGAACCGAGGAGTTCAAGACCAGCCTAGGTAACAGAGCAAAAACTATCTCTACAAAAAGATGAAAAAATGAGCTGGGCCCGGTGGCGCAGGCTGTGGTCCCAGCTACTAGGGGGAGGCTGCCGGTAGAATCCTTGAGCCCGAGGCCGAGGCTGCGAGCCACAATCATGCACTTTAGCCTGGGCAACAGAGCGAGCTCCGAGGCCGAGGCTGTAGTGAGCCACTTCACGACTTGCACTTTAGCCTGGGCAACAGAGCGAGGCCCGAGGCCGAGGCTGTAGTGAGCCGCACTCACGCACTTTAGCCTGGGCAACAGAGCGAGGCCCTGTCTAAAACAGGTCCCTAAGATGAATCAGAATGGAATTCTCCAAGTTATTTTGTCTACTAACTTTGTGATATAATTCTACAGAATCATTCTAATTGTATGACAGTTATTCCGACTAGATCAGAATCATTCCAAAGAGACTGAGCACCTCTGGCAGAGAATACGCTATAGGCCCTTCGAAAATATGTCTTAGTATTTCACATTGTCTTATAAGTTGTAGGATTGCAGGCAAATTACTGAACCTCACTAAGCCTATTTTCTCATCTGTAAAATTCTGCCCAGGCTAGAGTGCCTGGCACAACTTATATGCTCAATAAACGTTGATGAAATGAATTTTAAGAGATGTCTGCTTTTGGCTCACTGTTTTTCTTCCATTCTTTCTATATGCACTTCCCTTCTCCCCTGTCTTCCCCCATTTCTCTTTTTTTGTTTTTTGAGATGGAGTCTCGCTGTGTTGCCCAGGCTGGAGTGCAGTGATGCGATCTTGGCTCACTGCAATCTCCGCCTCCCAGGTTCAAGTGACTCTCCTGCCTCAGCCTCCCACGTAGTTGGGATTACAGGTGCCCGCCACCACGCCTGGCTA